AAACATATGCAAAACTTTGCGCCCCCTACCCCCACACACAAAACTTAAAAACTTTAACTCGTGCACTCGATTTCACACCGCACCGTCAAACTGAAACGCGTTGGGTGCTGCATAACCACGAAACGAGAAAGTAGTTTCGTCTCGCCAGCCAGAGCAAGCCGCAAGTGGCGGAAACTGGCAAAGGGCGCCGGGAACGCGGAAAATCCTTCTCCTCCACCCCTACCTCGTACAAAGGGCGGGCCCCTTTCTGCCCTTGCACGCGGCCACTCTCGCTACTCACCGCCCTGGCCGGGGTGCGCCGACCCCTGCGGTCGGCTGGTGCGCCGGCCGCTCTGCAGGAACAGCGAGACGCTTCTGAGCAGCGCGGCCGCCCCGGGGATGGAGGGGCCGGCCGCGCCAGGGGGGCCGGCGGCGGCTCCGGGAGGGGCGGCCGGGGCGACGGGGGCGGGGGCCGCGGCGGTGGCACTCTGCTTGGTCCTCGCCGTGCCCGCCGACTTGGTCCTGGATCCGGAGGGGCTGCCGGAGCGTTGCTTGGATGACCGAGTCGTCCTGGCCGACATGGCGGCGACCCTTGGGCCGGGGGGCCGAACACCTGCAAGCAGACAGCAGGGAAGTCAGTAGTGTCGAATAACAGTGGTGTTGTTTATTGAACAACTTAAGTGCACTTCCGATAGAAAGTTCAAGAGCGTGTGGTTGAACTTCGGTGCAATGGTCGGCCTGTTTCATCTTGAGATAGAGGAAGGGACAAGTGCCTCTCTGCTTTGTCTGCGTCACATTTTGCCGCCTCGGCACGTGGCACGTGTGTGCGTCTTAATTGCTTTGGTGTATAGGTCAAAAGCTTTCACGGCGGGCCGTCGCGTCGTGCTCATCTCCGACGGGGACAGGGGACTTCGGAATCGCACCGTTTGATGACGCTTATAGGATTAGATTATAATTAGGACATCTAGAGCGTGAGGGCGGCTTGATTTTTTTCAGAAAGAGATTCGTAATCGGTAGCCGCCAAACACCTGAGACGACGTCACAGGTCTCTTACACGCCGGTAACAATATTTCGTGATAATTAAACATTATTATTTAGGAAAAGGGATGTTGTGCTGTGCTTTGACGAGAGGTAACTCTTCTGCAAACAAAATCATTTGCAAAGTCCGCCCACCCCTCTGCAATGTGCGTGAGCCGAAGCGGGTGTACATCGAGAAAAACATTCAGAAAAAATCATGACACAATCAACACAATCACACGCAATTTGAGACAATCACAAACAATATAAAACAATGAGAGTCTAGACACACTTTTTGGCCAGTTGCACACCCCTTGGCGTGGGCGTGAGCGAAAAGCGAAACGCACTAGGAGTAACAAACAAAAATGATCTTTACGAACGAGAGCACGGCTTTTCTTTTCTGAAGAATTTGGGATTTCTGGGTATGGAAAAATCCATAGCGCTAGAGGGGCCAAAAGTTGTGTTTTCTCTAGATTTCTCGGGAGGAACCTGTGATATCGTAGCCCGTCGCGGTGGTGTGGCGACGTGTGTGTGAGTGTTTTGTGTGCTTTATTATTCCATCTTTTTACGTAACTCTGCCTTGGCATTGTGATAACAACAACTGTCTGAATATAAGCGGAGATCAGTGATACGGGGAAAAGCACCGCCGGGCGCGGGTGGTGACGCCGGCGGAAGGTACCCGAAGGTACCCGCCACCTTTGGCGCTCGCTCCCCGGAGATCCCCGGCCCGGCCGATAAGGGCCGCCGTATAAAAGCAGTGAGGAGACGCGGCCAAGAAGTCACTCATCGCAGCATAGTGCAGCAGCACCTCGTGTCAACATGGCCAAGACCTTCCTCCTCGCGGCGTTTGCCGCCGTCCTCTTCACCGTGAGTTTCCGAGTCGCAGACTTTGGCCGGAGAGAGTCCGGAGAGGCCGGAGTCTGAGCTGCTCTCTTGTCCTGCAGGTCGCGTTCTCCTCGCCGGCTCCGGCGCTGCTCGCCCAGCGGGCGGAGGCCCTCCAGCAGCTGGACGACACCGATCTGCAGGCCCTCGGACTGGACAAGCACAACCTCAGGTTCAACTGGATCAACGTGACCGCCATTCTGGAGAAAATCGAGAATGCGCTGAACACCGTGGAGGTCAAGATCGCCGAGGTGACGGCAAAGGTCGAGGACGCTTTGCAGGGTGTTCTCCAGGGCATTGAAAACGCCGCCCTGAACGCGGCCGTCAAGTGGAACCAGACCGTCGTGGAGCTCGCCGAGAAGGCGGAGCAGGCCGGCGTGGACATCCGGGACTGCATCGAGCAGGAGCAGCCGCTCAGCGAGGTCATCGAGGGCCTGAAGAACGACACCCGCACCTGCGTCGCTAACCAGATCGATGAGGTCAAGAAGGCCCTCGGTGACGTGACAGACGTCGGCGGGTTGGCGCTGGACCTGCTCGACCGCGCCAAGAAGCAGGTCGCCGAGTGCAGCAAGGCGGGCAACTTCATCGCTTCGGGGCTGTGCCTCGCGGCGACCACGCCCGCCCTGGACGTGGAGGCCGTCGGGCTGGTCGCGGAGGCCGTCTTCCGCGCAGGGATCGCGGCGGTGAAGGCCGGCGCGCTCGCCCCGCTCACCACCCTCTGCGACACCAAGGCCACCGCGGGCCGCGCCGCCCAGGCCACCGCCATCGTCGACGCCACCGCCAAGTGCATCCAGGGCAAGCTTTTCCAGTAGGACGGGGTGCGAGATGCGAGAGTTTTTGCGACTGTGATATATGTATAAACGGTCTGGAGTAAATTATTTTATTATTAGCAATCTACAAAGCGCCATCACTCAACCCCTACTTTCTCTACACACAGTGTGCACAAGTCGGTTTTGGTTTCGCGATATTTTTGCGCCCCTGTGCCCCGCATGTAGTTAGTAGGCATGGACCGCTAGACAGCAATGCTTTGACACGGTAGGCAAACCCGCCCAGACGCGCATGCATGCGGTACAGTAGGATCGTAAAACCCGACTGGTATACTGGCACGGGCGATAATGGGGCACTTCCATTTCTGCGTATCTCAGTACAGAAATGCCACATAGTGCCTAACAACTCGTCGACCTCCTCGCGTCGACTCAGGTCGAAAGTTCTGATTGCGCTGCAGGCGGTGAATTTGTCAGTATCTCAAGTGCCTCGGACTCACATAGGTGATAGATTGGTTTCGTGGCCGGAAGGATCCCAATCCTACCCACCAAGTGCCGCCCCCCCTCCCCTCCCCCACGCACACACGCGCTCACGCTGCACCTTCTTCCTTCCTTCCTTGCGGCCGTGTGACCCCTTATTGCGTGACAGTTTCTATCAGAGCCTGCAGCCGTCCTCAGGTCGACATGCGAACCGTATATCAGCCCCGGGTTTACGCCGCCCCGCTTGCGCCCCGCCGCGTCGTGCGGGCCGTGACGACTCATCTATAATCTTGCCTTGAAAGTGAAAATGCAAAAAGCCTTGACATCCCTTCCCCTGGGAGGGAAAAAAAAACATCATTTTTCACACTAACACCAACTCCGTTCTGTTGTACTGAGAAACTCGCCTTGCCCTAGGTTGCACACGGATAAAGGGGGGGGGAGGGGCTGCACGACCGACACCACAACGCCACCAAGCAACGTGTCAAGTGGCGCAGTTTGGTCTGGGAGAGCGCCGCCCCCGCCCTCGCCCCCCGCCGCTCCGCCGCCACCCCACCTAAGCCGCAGGGGCGTGATTTCAATTTAGCCCCTAGCGGCCGTCGGTGGAGTATGGCTGCCGAGGAGTTATGCCCGTGTCTGGGAGTGGGGCGCCCCAGTACCAAGCCGTGCCAACACCTTGGGCTGACCAAACTTTGCCAGCCAATCAACACGCTCTCCTCGCTGCTCCACTCCATCCACACCGCCCCCCGAGCTAGCCGTCATCCGGATATTACGGACGGAGAGCTCTCGTTCTCGCTCTCTGTCTTTTCTCTGTCTGTCTGTCTGTCTGTCTGTCTGTCTGTCTGTCTGTCTGTCTGTCTGTCTGTCTGTCTGTCTGTCTGTCTGTCTGTCTGTCTGTCTGTCTGTCTGTCTGTCTCCTCCGCCCCCCAATATAACTCATAGAACAGCGAAAGCAGCAGAGCCGAACAGAGCGCGATCCATTTCCCCGATTGGCGTGGTGTGGCGAGTGCGAGCCCTCCTCGGGGTGGGGGGCTTTGGATTCGTAAATGAGCCCCAGGGGTTGTTGGGTTGGGGCGCACGATATCCCACTCGCCTTTTTCCGTTCTCAGCAGCGTTGCTGTCTCTCTCACTCCTCACCTCCGACCCGAGCACGAGCCGCGATCATCGCCCTGCGCGATGGCTGCCCCAATGACAGATCGTGCAGGAGCAGCCCTCCGCAGGGGCCCTCCCGCGTGTCAGTTAGTCTGCCACCCCTTCGACCCCGCTCCCGCCCTCACGCTCACCAAATATAAAAAAAACATGCTCTCTCTCGCTCGCACGCACACACACACACACAGACACACTGACACGAGCAGGCCGTAAACCCGTTTACTGCGCCTTATTACGGTACTTTACCTGGTGACGTCAACCCCGCGGGGTTAGATTTCCCGGCCGCGCAGCCCTCGCGGCCGAGCCCAGCCCCTCGGAGTCTCCGCCGCCTTGGGAGTCCTCAGGGCCCCGCTCCGCAGCACTTGCAGTCTTCTCTTCGCCTCTGTTTTTATTTTGTCCTCCTCACCCTCTACCTCTCCAGGGGTGAAGGGACGCTAAGGACCTGCAGGATGCATCCCCAGGATGCGTGTTTACGGATCACCTAGACGACGACGACCATATCGATCGTTGGCGTTTCTCTGCCCTGTCCTGGAAACGTCCTGGAGAGATCGGGAGCTTCCCTTCGTTACGGCCCTGCCGTGTTTTTTTCGACCACAGGCGATGGCTGGCTAGGCCCCAATAAATGCCAACAAGCAATAATGGTACAGTGTCATTTATACAAGGTAGCTGATTAATCCCGAGCACTTGTTTAGGCATACTGTGTACCGCATTCCTACGTGCGGGCGGGTTGCCCTCTCGTCCGGCTCGTGAAGGCGCCGTGGACAGGGGAGATAGGCAAGCCCGCCTGCACTCGTGCGCACGGCACAGTATACCCAAAGCGGTTCGCGGGACTGGTCAGCCATTTGGTATTTGGATCACAAATGTCAATTCATGTTCAGAGATTGTCTACTAAATAATGCATAAGTAATGAGAGCAAGGTGTAGCTGGGAGGCGTGCGTGGACACAAGCTCCTCGCCGTGTGGCGCGGGCGGGGCGTCGACGAGGCGCCTTTGCAGTCCCCGCCCTGCAGGTGTCCACACCACCGGGGCACCTTGCCGTGCACCTTGCCCCGCCGCCCGGCCCGTCCGCCGCGAGCGCCCGCGGAGCCCGTCGAATGTTCCCGCCCAACGGTGGCGCCACCTCTCGGGCGCGGGCGGGACCGCCTCGCGGTGCGCGCCAGGTGGCCGCCGCTGGTGGCCGCTAGGTGGGGCCACCGCCGCCCGCGTCGCTGCCACCCCTCCGAGCCGCGCGCGGGGCCCATAGAGGGCCCGTCCCGAAAACGACGGCAGAAAAAAACTGGAGCGGTAGTCTGTGGTGTGCCATGAGACGAAACCTCGGCTTGGGTCCGTTAACGTTCGTCCTGTCTCCGTCTGCCTCCGAAGTAATCAATTCATTTGAACGCCGTTTCGAGCCCTGGCTGGTCCTCCCCCCTGGAGTTCCCTCCCTCATATCTCGCACCGATAATGTTCATGGCAAACATCAACGTGTCTGTTACGCGCCAATCATCACTGCCATGCATATGCCTCGGATGACCTACAAGCTCTCACGGAGGCCGGTAGACGCTTGCAACAAAAACACGGCGACTTACACGTCGGGAATTATTGGGGCCCCGCTGGTGGACACCTGTTCCAAACGCCCCCCCCCCCCTTGCTCACTTAACCGCGGCCCCCGCTGGCGTACGCTGGCGCCAGGCGCGCGCGCGCTCTGGCGGCTCGTGCCGGAACCTGGTCCGCGACGGGCGCTCACTCGTGCGCCTGCTCTCCGCTCCGCGCACAAAAACATCAATGGTGGACTTGCAGTGGTGCGGGACGGGCGTGCGGGGCGTGTTGCGTGCGCGAGTGAGTGAGTGAGTGAGTGTGACAGAAGTCTCGTCCTGCTCGTGCGAGCTGCAGCGGCCGCGGCCCTCGTCCGAGGTGAGTCCGTGGTGTCCCCCGCGCTGGCCGCCCTGGCCAAGGCCGTAATGCTGTTGTCCAGGAGCTCCCTCCTCGGCCCCCCTGCGCTCTGCGAGCTGCGCGCTGACGTTCGCTACGTCCGCGGAGCTCTGGGCTCGCTGGAATCCTGGAGCGGAGAGTGCGGAGTGACTCAGTGGTCGCCGACGGCGACCCTCGGCCCCCCCCTGCGTCGCCCCTGCTAGCGTCGTCGTGGTAGTTCACTGTCAGCAGGGCAGTCTTGACCTGCTGCCGCAGAGCTGTCACTCAAGCCGTCGCGCGGGCGTGCGATTTTGAGGTTATATGAGAAAAAAACACAAAGACAATGAATGACAAAAAGAAGAAAGGACGGGGATTGGTAATGTCAGTCAACGCCGTATAAGCTGAGCGGTAGACAAACAGCGGTCCCAGTAAAAAAATGTGCCATTTGTATTTTCTTGCTAATTTCATGCAAAAAATTTGCTTCAAATGTTATGGAATTGCGAATTGAATGTCTGTGTACAGTGCTCGCAAGGCGTTCCGCTTTGCAGTGTCAGTGTCAAGACCATCGCCGAGCGCGGTAGATTTGCTAATTACTGCGGTTTTCCTTGCGAGAAGATGCCACCTTCGCTGTATTTTTAGCAGAAACCTGTTCTGTGATGTACATTTTCTTTGAGACGTACACACACTTACCGAGTGTTTCAGTGCAGATGCTACAGCGTTGCGGGATTTGACGCACCTGTTTTTTGCACCTCGCAGGCGAAGGGAGTAGGCTACCCCGCAACACTCTGGCTTGCGCCCTGAAACACCCAGCGCAGGTGTCTCTTTACCGTTGCCCCTGATCGGATCTACCTACCAGGCCAGGGCTGGGGGGGGG